ACTTACAGTGGGGTTACATCCCTATAAACCCACTGTAAGTTAAAAATATCATTGTCAAAAATACATTGAATATACCTAACCTACTGAGCGTCATTGTAAGCCTAGCCTACCTTAAACATGTTCAGAACACTTACATTGGCCTATAGTTGGGCAAAACTATCGAACGCAAAGCCCATTTTATAATAAAGTGTTGAATATCTCCTGTATATATTGAATACTGCATGGAAAATGAAAAACACAATAGTTGCATGGATGCTCGAAATATGATTTCTACTAAATGTATGTAGCTTTGGCGCCATTTATAAAGTAAAAATATCGTAAGTCAAAAAAATATATATATATCGTAAGTCAAACCATCATAAGTTGGGGACTGTGTGTATGCCATATGAAAAAAAAGTTGAAGATAAACATTAAGAAGAAAAAGGGGAAAATAAACACAGAGCCAAAATTGCTTGTGCTGTGGTCCAAATGTAGTTTTTGGGTTAAGGCACAGCCTGAATCCAATCTATTCCATAATACAGTAATCATGAAATGAAGGAACCATGGTATGTGATAGTGTTCTGTCTTCTTAACAAGTTGTATTAAAGTCTGTTTTTAAGCTAAAATAAAACATTTAAGATGCCTGTGTCTTTTTAAAATTTCCCTTCTTCTCCTGTTTTAGGGATAATTGAAATTTTTAATCTATAATTTTAAATTTACAGTGAAGTTGCAAGAATAGCACAAAGAATACCCATATATCCTATCTTGGTCTGCTTGGGCTACCATACATAACGTAATATCATAGACTGGGTGTCTTCACAGAAATTTATTTTTTTTACAGTTCTGGAGGCTGGAGATTCCAAGATCAAATAATTTGGTTTCTGGTGAGATTGTACAATCTAAGTGGATGAGGAAGGGACATTATCCAAAAAAAGGCTGTATTATTAGTAACTGATATGAATCAGTAGTATAATGCCATTGCAAAAAGCATGAGGCTTTTAGATAGCTGCCTTTTTCCTGTGTCTTCATTTGGCAGGAAGCGTGGGGGAGAGGTATAAGACACTAACCCTTTTGTATCAGACCCCTACCCTTATGACCTCTGTAGCCTAATTACCTTTTTGTAGGTCTCTCTCCAAATACAATCACATTGGAGGTTAGGATTTAATCTGTGAATTTGGAGGAGAAATATTCAATCCATAGCATACTCTTTACCCAGATTTACCTGTTGTCAACATTTTACCCCATTTGCTCTCCCCACAACACACACAAAATTTTTGTTCTACCCACTTGAGAATAAATTGCATACATCATGATTCTTTACGTGTAACATTTTCAAAGTATATTTCCCAAGAATGAAACTATGTTCTCACTGAATCACAGGAGAGTAACTACAACTACAGTAACTGTAACACATAAGTATTTGTATCCAATCTACCGTCCATGGTTTCAGGATGAAACTGTTCCAGCTTACATCATCAGGCGTTAGAGTCTCCTAAGGAGCAGGCAATCTGGATCCCTCCCATGAGCAGTTCACAAACTCATAGGGTTCGCGCTCCTATGAGAATCTAATGCCACCACTGATCTGACAGGAGGCAGTGCTCACTCGTCCACTGCTTTCCTGCTGTACGGCCCAGCTCCTAACATGGCCCCTGGTTCAGGGACCCCTGCTTTATAGCATTTTCTTCTCCTCCAGTAAACCAGTCAAAACCTGTATTTTTTAAAAAATGGCATCTGGCTTCCTCCATAAACAAAAGTCTACCAACTCTTTCCACAAGCTCCCCACTTCCGCTCCCCAACTTCAAGCCCCTGTCTCTTAGTTTCTTCTTCCTGGAGTGTTAGAAACTCATTTGCCCTACAAAATACCTACTTCTCTCTTTTTTAAGATAACCTTTTATGAAGATTTTTACTGCCCTCCCTAAGCAGATGGAATTGACCCAGCTGGAAACCAAGAAGACTTTCTTCTTAATTCCCCTCCACATCCTGTGCCCTTAGCATACTGGAAATATCTTAGTTTGTATTCATTACTGGTACATATCTGCTTTTCCCCTCCCACCCACACCCCCCATCCTCTGCCAGGAGACTCTAAGCTCTTTAAAAGAAGGGACCATATTTTATTGGTCTTTGTATTCTCAGAGTTTAAAGACAGGATCTGTCCCACGGGAGGTGCTTTATAAATATTTATTAATCATCAATGGAATACATCACCCTAAAGAGCTCCTGGAGGAGGTTGTGGGGAGTCTGATCCTGAAGAGTTTCAAGAAGGAAAATGCCCGTCCATCCAGGGGCCTTACAGTGGTTCTAGGGGAAAGAGAATGAGCTTAGAGTGGACAGAGTGGAGCTTGATCTCTAAAAGCTTGCTTGATTCTGTGATAAAGTGTGGTGAAATCAGGCAGGACCTTTATATTCCTTAAGATTTCTCAAGCCCACACACAGCTCTCAGGAGAACATAGTCTGGATTTATTTATTTACTTACTTACTTATTTATATTTTTAATTCATTTTTTTTTTGAAACAGAGTCTCACTCTGTTGCCCAGGCTGGAGTACAGTGGTGTGATCTCAGCTCACTGCAGCCTCAACCTCCCAGGTTCAAACGATTCTCCTGCCCCAGCCTCCTGAGTAGTTGGGACTACAGGTGCATGCCACCACATCCAGCTAATTTTTGTGTTTTTAGTAGAGACAGGGTTTCACCATGTTGGCCAGGCTGGCCTCAAACTCTTTACCTCAGGTGATCCGTTTGCCTCAACCTCCCAAAGTGCTGGGATTACAGGCATGAGCCACTGTTCCTGGCCTATTTTTAAATTTTTAATCTTGAACTAATTTTAGACTCACAGAAAACTTGCAAAAATAGTACAGAGTTCCTAGAAACTCTTCACCCCGTTTTCCCTACTATTAACGTATAACCATAGAACAATGATCAAAACCAGGAAGTCAGCATTGGCACAATACTACTAACAACAGATCTTACTCAGATTTTACCAACTTTTTCACTAACGTCCTTTTCTCTTCCAGGATCCCACATTGCATTTAGTTGGCATGTCTGCTTAATTGCCTCCAATCTGTGACAGCTCCTTAGTCTGTCTTTGTCTTTTGTGATCTGGACACTTTGTAGGAGTACTAGTCAGTTATTTATAGAATGTCTCTCAGTTGATATCTGTCTTATATTTTTCATGGTTAGATTGAGGTTCTGGCTTTTTGACAGGAAAACTGCAGAAGTAATGATGTACCGTTCTCAAATGCATCACATCCAGAATACATAAAGTCATCGTATTGCTGATGATATTGAACTTGATCACTCTGGTAAGGAGGTTTCTCCTGGATTTCTCCCTGTGAAGTTCCCATCTTTCTCTTCAAAGTTAATAAGTACCTCTAGATACTTTGGATCTATGCAAATATGCTGTTTCTCCTTAAACTTCCATCCACTAATTTTCACATTCATGAGTGAACTTTGCCTGTAACAAACCTTTTTGTGGTGTTTACCTAATAGGGACATTTCTTAGTTCTCTCTTTCCTTCTACATTTATTAACTGGAATTCTCCTGGAAGGAGAAGCTTTACAGACTCGATTTAGGTGCAGAGTGTCACATCCTGCCAATCATTATTTTCTGATCTTTTGATTTTTCAGATTATTAGCTTGATAGCCATATTTCAAAACATCTTTGTTATTTCAGCATTTACATTTTATTAATGTTTGCTTAAAGACATTGTAATCACTTTACATTATTACTACAGTTTCTTTATTATAGGCAGACTGAATTATATAAATGAAAAATCAGTGACATTATTTTTAAGACACAAACTGAGTGACTTTAAAAGGAGCATACCCTACACAGAGACCTTGAATTCTAGTTCTTTCTTTAGCTTCTGAATGTCTAATAGTGAAAATAATACCATTCATGCCTAGCCACACATAGTTCATGGAGCACACATAAGTTCCCTATCAGGAGAACTTTAATTTAGCATTTCTTAGCTTTTGTATGTTTACATTGTTAATTGTAGCTCAAGTGTACAGAACACAGTATATTTAGCAGAAATTTTCATAGCCTGGCAATTTTCATCGACCACAGTTGGCTCTCAGAGTTTGCCCAGAATGGTTAGTCAGCAGAAAAGCATTGAATTGGAGCTGATTTATTTCTGAATCAGTGACAAATTTACTTTCCAAGCATAGTATCTCTAGTTGTATAAGAAATTAGAAAAGAGCATTATTTAGACCAAGGGTTAGTAAACTGTGTAAAGGGGCCATATGGTCAATACACGAAGTTCTCACTTAGCTCATCCGTAGGTTCTTTGGAAACCACGACTTTATGCCAAACATCATAAAACAAAACCAATTTTGCCATAGGCTAATTGATATAAACAAGAGTTAAGTTCCTACAGCATATTTCTGGCCATAAAAACATCACCAAACTTCTAAAGAAAAACCAAAACACTTTGAATATTAAATGTTGGAATAAATGTGAGCTACACATACATTTGAGAAAGATTTTTTTTAAAGTAAAGTAATTATTTGCCTGCTTTTTCCAGTTTGGGGTTGTGGGTGATCAGAGCCTATCCCAGCAGCTTAGGGCCCAGAGTGAGAACCAACCCCGGACAGACACCAGTTGCAGGTCACACACACACACACACCCCCTACACCCACTCAGGCCTGGGATAGTGTAGACATGATTTTCACCTAGTGTGCACATCTTTGGGATGTGGAAGGAAACTGGAGCAGCTGGAGAAAACCCACACAGACACAGGGAGAATGTGCAAACTCCACACAGACAGCAGCCCCAGCCGGAATCAAGTTTTTTTTTCCTTCATCAGCATTATAATGAAACAGCATTATTCCAAAACTTGCTGTCCTTTGGGCTTTGCAGGCTGTACAGCATCACACAACTATTAACTCTGCGATTGTAGTCATGGACGGTGTGCAAGTATGTGCGTATGACTGCATTCCAATAAAACACAGATTGAGACTCATAAAAATACATCTACTGAAAATGTATTTTAGCATTTATCCTTGCCTCTCATTTTTCTCTGCAGGCAGAAGACTGATTTTTGAAAATATGTATTTGGAAGATAGTCACGTCCTGTTGAATACTTTGTGCTGGTGCTGCCATCGAAAAATCTGGTTACACTCTGGGGAGGGCTGCTACCGCTGCAGTACTGAACCGCTTCGGCCGTGAAATGAGTGTCTGGCCTGAGCAGGCACACCATGAATAGATACACAACAATCAGGCAGCTCGGGGATGGAACCTACGGTTCCGTCCTGCTGGGAAGAAGCATTGAGTCTGGGGAGCTGATTGCTATTAAAAAGTAAGTTTGATCCTTCACTCTGTGATCATTTTAACTCTACCCTCACCATTCCCCATCTTTGAAACAGTTCTAAAGAGCAGTGGGTGGGATGCCTGGAGAAGAACCTTGGATAATGATTTCTGTGGGTTAAGTGATTATTGACTCTGCAGCACCCATGTTAGAGGTCTTAAAAACATTTCCACTTTAGATTTACTACTTTGCACATAGCACTAGTACTTGTTATCAAAGTATTTTCTCATATTGTGTGGTAGTAACAAGCAGGTTAATAAACATCATTTTACATGAGAAGAAACTGAAACTCTAAGAAATTAAGTGACTTAGTTTGGGTCATTTACGTGCATGTGGTGGTCTGGTGACTGCTGTCTTGTTCCTCCTGCCCCACCTGCCCTTCACAACCTGAGTCCAGACACGTTGTATTTGTTATCTGTTGCTGTTTAACAATTTGCTCCAAGACTTAGTTGTTTAAAACAACACACATTTATTATCTCAGTTTCTCTGGGCCAGGAGTCTGGGCACAGCTTAGCTAAGTTCTCTGCCTCAGTTATCTCTCATGAGGCTGTTGTCAAAGTATTGGCTCAGACTGGGGTCTCATCCGAAGGCTGGACTGGGGAAGAATCCAATTCTGAGCTCATTGATCTATGGGTTGTTGGACTGAGGGCTTCAGTTCCCTGCTGGCTGTTGGCAGGAGGCTGCCCTCAGTTTCTTGCCATGTGGGCCTCGAAAGAGCAGCTTACAAGATGGCAATTTGCTTCATCAAGACATAGGAGTCAAGAAGGCAATGAGAGACTTGTACTAAGATGGAAGTCATATCTTGCTTTTGGAAATTAATCACAGAAGTGACATTCCTGTCAAATTGCTGTATTCTATTGGTTAGAAGCAAGTCATTGAAGGAGAGGGGGTTCTAAAAGGTTCTGGGTAGCAGGAGGTGGGAGTCCCTGGGAACCACATTGGAGACTGCCACACCCATCTCTATCCAGTTGCCTTCTCAGCATCTCTATTTGAATGCCCTGCAGATATTTCAAACTCACCATGCCCAAAACTACACTCCGACTCAGCATATTATCTCACTCTCATCCCAAATTTGTTTCTTCTTCAGTATTCCCTATTTCGATAAATGGCACTCTCCCCTCAAAACCTGGGAGTTCTCCCGCCTTCCCTCCCACTTATTCCTCACCTTTAGTCATCTAGTCCCATCAATTCTCCATAGTAGTTATGCGATCCACCTACTTCTGTATATTCCCACTGCTAACCTCCATTCAGCCCATTACCTTTTACCCACCTCCACCACTAGGTCTTCTGTAGGGCTCCTGGCTTTTTTTCCCTTATTCATATCAGACCAAAGGGATTATTTTAAACATACAAATTTAATCCTCTAAAACCACTTAACCAAATGTTCATTGTGTTCCCTGAACATATCCCCTAGTCCCACCTGATGTCAGTGCAGCTGTAGTACACAGCTCTATGCCCACACTGGCACCCCACCCCAAGTGCACTTGGGAGACTTTCAACCAAGGTGCATTCTGTCCACTCTTTAAAAGGTCCCTAGCAGGCCCGAGCCATTTGCCAACCCTGGCACTGGCTTGCTCATACGCCCCTTATTGGGTTCCCTACCTCTCTTTTCTGAGTTTCCTGCTCCTTGCCCTGGCTTCCTGGAATCAGCTCCCAAATAAACTACCTGCACCCAAGTTCTTGCCCAGGCTCCGCTTTTGGAGGAATCCATACTAAGACAGCTTCCAATGTCTTCTTGTCAGTTTTAAGATGAAGCCCCAAATGTTTAATGTGACCTACCAATTGCTGCATCACTGCCCCTGGCAGGTTCACTTTTATAGGCTCTTTTCCTTTCTTCACAGCACTTGGTACAGAAAATTATTGTTGACCTTCTGGCCATGATATCACTTTCATGAGGGATGTCTTTCTCATCATTGTCTCGCCAGTGGCTGACAAAGCACCTGCTGTACCACATAGCAGGGGCTAAATCATATTTGGGGCATGAATAAAGAATTTGATCACTCTACCAGGAGACAGTGTGATAAGGACAGAGGAAGCTGGAGAGATGGGCAGTTCATTATTGGCCAGCAGTGAGACCTCAGGAAAGTTGTGTGCCTTCTCTGTTTCTCAGTTTCCTGAGCTGTCCTTATCTGTTTCACACGGCTGCTGTGAGACAAATGAGACAATGTGATTGAAATTCACTGAAAGATGTAACCTTGAAACTTGGATTTCTGATTAACTAATGGTGTTTTCTTTCTCTCCATTCAGGCTGTAGACCAGGGGTTGGCAAACTTTCTCTATGAAGGGCCAGGCTGGAAATATTTTAGGCTTCACAGCCATATGGTCTCTTGCAACTACTCAGTTCTGCTGTTGTAGTTTGAAAGCAGCCACAGGCAGTATATAAATGAATGAGTATGGTTGTGTTCCAATAAAACTTCATTTATAGAAACTGGAATTTGAATTTCACAAAATTTTCACATCATGAAATATTATTCTTCTTTTGACTCGTCAAACCCCAATTTAAAAAGGTGAATGCCATTCTTAGCTTATGGGCAGTATAGAAAGAGATAGGGGGGAGGTTTTGGCCCATGGGTCATAGTTTGCTAACTCCTACACTAGAAGGTCTAGAGCTCTGCTGTGTAGTATGATAGCAAGTAACCATATGTGGCATTTAAATTTAATTAAAATTAAAATTGAGTTCCCACATTGCACTAGCCACATGCCAAGTGCTCGGTAGCCACCCGTGTCTAGTGGTTACCATCCTGGACAGCGCAAAACAGTTTCACCAATATAGAAAGTTCTACTGGCCAGCTCTGGTCTAGACAGAAAAAGCCTGAGCAATTTCCTTCCAGGGCAAGGTTAGCTAGTTATTATAGAGCAAGACAGCAGTCCAGGCCTCTTTGAACTGCACCACACCACTGCTACTGGCAAAGTTTGTGACTTAGGATTGATGATCGCACTGCCATTTGAAAATAAATGTTGGTTTGGGATAGTATAATATTTGGTAGAAATTTAAACCCACTTTAAGTATGTTAATTAGGTTCAGAATGAAAGCACTTTTTTCTAAAAACAAAGTTTATCCTGTTGCTGAGAATAAGTGTGCTGTTTGTTTCTTTCTTCTCTTCTAGAATGAAAAGAAAGTTTTATTCCTGGGAGGAATGCATGAACCTTCGGGAGGTTAAGGTATTTATCAACATGCCAAGGAACAGTTCATATATGGATGATGAAAATAGCTTTGTACATGCTTAGATTTATGGTTGATATAGTCATTTCATTTGAATTTTTTCACTAATGCTGGAAAGGGAGGCAAATGATAACATTATAGCTGAAGCAGAAGATTATGATGTAATTGCATATACTGTTATTAGAAAGCTTTCATCTTTAATGGATCTCTTATATCGATATATTTCAGTATAAAGAAGTTGAATGTGTTGATTTTGTGAATTATTATTGCCTAATTATTTTCTTGATTATTAACATAAAGGAAAATCTATTTGTTGAGTATTTTTCCAAGACATAATTGCAGTACTTACTTCCGTTTCTTGCTCTAATAATTTGCACTCTACTTTCCATGAGGAAATTCATTGATCAAGGTATACCTGTGTCAAGTATTGTGGAGCACAGATCTTTACTTTTATTCAGCCTTCTGACTGGATTCACTATTCCCTCCCTTTCCCCTTGACTCTTCTTCTATTGATTTTGTTCCAATTTTTCTCTCTGTCGGAGTAGATTGACCACATTGAGTTTTACATTCGCTTCCTTGTCCAGTGGAGTGGTGCTTCATCTAATTTTAGTCCTCTTGCCCAGCCCTGTTTGAAACACCTAATAGAATATTGGAAAACACCCTTTCTTTTCCTCCAAAGGAGTCCTGTACATGAAAGTAGGGTTAAAAGCCTAAAGCAGGGATCAGAAAACGTTTTCTGTAAAGGGCCAGATAGTCAGTCTTTTATGTTTCTAGGACCAAAAGGTCACATTGAGGATGTTATATAGGATGTCATGTGTAACAAGAGCAAAAACAAATTTCCATAAAATTTTTATAAGATATAAAATGTAATAATAATTTAGTATAATTTTCTGTATTATAGGTTTTTCAATGAGAAGAATGATATTCTTTTTGAGGGGACGTAATATTTAACTTAATTAGGGTTCAAAGTTAGTATTCCCTATCATCAAACAAAATGTTTCCTATCATCACTAAATCAACACATTCAAGTCTTTATATTGAAATATTTGATATAAGAGATCCATTATACAGGTGTACCTTGATCAATGAATTGCAACCATTCATTTATAAAAATATTATTTTTTATCTTTTTTGGGCCGAGTGCAGTGGCTCACACCTGTGATCCCAGCACTTTGGGAAGCTGAGGCAGATGGCTCACTTGAGGTCCGGAGTTCGAGACCAGCTTGGCCAACATGGTGAAACCCCATTTCTACTACAAATACAAAAATTAGCTGGGTGTTATGGTGGGCACCTGTAATCCCAACTACTCAGGAAGCTGAGGCAGGAGAATTGCTTGAACCCGGAAGGTAGAGGTTGCAGTGAGCTGAGATTGCACCATTGCACGCCAGCCTCGACAACAGAATGAGACTCAGTCTCCAAAAAAAACAAAAACAACAAAAATATTCTTAGCTCATGGACCATATGAAAACAGGTGGTGGGCTGGATTTCACCCATGGGATGTAGTTTGCCAAGCTCTGGTCTAGAGAATAAAAGTTCAAGATGATCCAAAAACATCAGATATAAAAAAAAACAAACATCAGGGATTAAAAAAAAAAGATAATCTAAGGACATTTTCTCTGTGACATGAAGTTCTGAGAAGTATCCATGGCTTGGTTGTTAAACCTTTATTTTTCCACACAGCGAATTGTGTATTAGTTCTAATGCAAAAGACATTGCTCATATACACAGTTTTAAAAAACTGTGGACACATAGCGTCTTAGGAAGCAAGTGACTGCCTCAGCAAGATCGTTGAAGAAGCTGCTTCTCTAGCTGATGACCACCAGACGACTCCCACTCTTTTTCCTTGCGTGCACAGATGCCAGATTGGCTGCCAGCCGGGATCTTCCCCATCCCCACACCCCCGCGCTTGTTGAGCCTCACACAGACTTCCCAGCACTGGGCCACAGCCCTGAACACCGAGGGAAGGATGGCGGAAGCAAGTACAAAGTGGGCACCTTACAAGATTCCTCATCCCTTCCTCCTTGCTGAGGTCCTTCTTTCGTGCCTGCTGACTCAGAAAGGGAAGGAAAAGGAAGGTCACTGAAGGCCTCTTGTCACCATCATTTCCTGTGTCCTGTCAGCTGCTTCATTCCAGCAGCAAAGGGAACTGAAGGGAAATCCTGAGTTCTCACCACGCCTCTGTTCCTTCTTCATTTCTTTTCTCCTCATTGCCGCCTGCCTATGTATTTCCATGTCTGCCTGTGAAGACCCTGTGGACTTCAGGGAGATTCTGCACCTTATGGCCACTGCAGGGAGGGGAATCCCTGCTCCTGTGATGTCATGGGGGGATGGCACCTGGTGCTATTTTTCTTAGAAGCATAGTCTTCCATGGCGCTATGCGGTTCTAGACACCATCTTGAAACCATAGGCTGCCTGTATCTTGCCTACCGTGTTCCTTTGCTGTTTTGGTTTTTTTAACCATATTAATTTTTGATGTCTGTAGATTCTTGCTCCAACAATTTCCCCCTCCTTCCCATATCTTTAAACTCTTTTTTTTCCCCACTCGTTCCTTCTCTTTAGTCTATAAGTGTGCTCACCATTCTCTCTAACCCAAAACATTCCCAAGCCCCTCTCCCCTTGAGTTTCCAACTCTTTCCTTTTCTTACTTTACATTCCAAATTTCTTTCTTCAGTGCAGCTTTCCTACACATCATTTACTTTTCAACCTCATCGAATCAGGCATCTCCCTCTGTAGCTCTACTTAAGGCCACAGATTCACCAGAAGAACTCAGCAGGTATATACCTGGCATCCAAATGGTTTGCCCCCTGCTCACTTCTCCAGCCAAAGTCTTCCAGATGAGTCTCCCTCAGAACTAAACTGGGGTGATTCTCATCTCTCATCCCTCAGACACAGTCCTCCACTCAGTTTCCATGCCTTACCTGCAGCGGGCTTCCCTCCCGTTGTGCCTGCTCCCTCCCAGCAAGCTTGTCCGGGTGTCACTCTTCCTTTAAGTCACATCCCAGTGATGCTCCCACTGACCACTCAGGGTTTGCTGATTACTCCGTGACACATCTCTGATAGTCCTTGACACTTAATATGATCTTCCTTATTTTATTACATGTATTTTGTATTGATGTTCTAACTTTCCAATTAGGTTGATTGCCTTTTAAGAGCAAGCATGGCATCTTAAGCCCCAGGATACCCTGGGGGCCCAGTACATTGTTCTTTTAATAGTTTGAAACTGTTGATCAGTTCCTGATATGGACAACACTGGTAATATCCAGCTGAAAGTTTCATCCATGAGGAGAAACAGTCCCGATTTGGACTGTTGACCTGGCTTAATTTGCTGCTTCTGCTTCTCCACTCTGACACAACTGACCTGCCTCTCCCTCTCTTTTGAAATCCTTCCCTGAGCCAAGATAAGATGCCTCTTCCTGGAAATACATCTTCATAAAGCCAGTCACATGAAGTCCCCCACATAAAATTAATTCCTTTTATATTAAACTAATATGAACTTTAACTTGCTCATGAGCCTCACCTAGAAACAAGAGTTGTGAGCCACCGTAGAGTTGGGCCAGTAATTCATGGCTCCAAACGCACTTCAGGCTAAGAGCTGGAGGCACCCCACTCCTTGCCTAGAATTCACTCCCAGAAAAGTTTTAAAAACAACTTCATTTTCCTCTGAATGAATTTTCTCCTAGGCTGCTTATCCACTAGCTACCTTAGCCATTGCTTGTGATGCATTTTAAGCAAACAGGCATAAAAGATAGCTGCAATCACTGAGAGTTTAGTGAATACTTACAAGTTAAGCAATGTTTATGTTTGTTACTTGTGGAGAACCAGGAATCCAACCCAACTAAAGGGAGTAATCAGCCCTTTTGGTCCATACTAGAAGGATCTGGCCAAAACAGTTGGCCAAAACAGCTGAGGATTCCCTGCCAGAGAAGTATCTTGGCAGGAACTGTTCTTCTGGGGAGGAGGCTCCAATGAGTCTTATTTTGCTCTCTTTCACTGACCATATTTCCTCTCTCTTACCAGCTGCTTCAAGTAACTGATCATATTATACATTCCCAAGCTCCGAACCCTGGGTATTTTATCACTGAGCGTTCTTCTAGATGAGGATATTCATTTTAACACTTTCCTCTTCGCATGTTTTCTTTGTTTTATAAAAAGAATGTTCTTCTTAATGAAATTCAAAGATAACTTAATATTGGACTCCCATCTTTATGTGTGAGAAAGGGCTATTTTAATTAAAGGACTCATCTCACTGGCCAGAGTGACACGTGGAGGCTTCCATGAAGGGGACAGTCAATCAGATTCTGATTATCTAAACCAACAGTTTTGGGTGTGTCTACTGTACAAGAAGGGATGCTGCTCACTCATACAAAAATGATTTGTTCACTATTGACAAAACTAATGATGCAAACAGAAAACAGTGTGCACGTGGCTATACTCACATGTGCACGTGTTCCAGGAGGAGGAAAAGTACACATGCGTGAAGACGCGAAATCGGAAGGCCATGCACTATTTTCGAAGCCACCCTCTCATTCCTCATCCACTGCCTCACTTTTGCCTTTGTAGTTCTTGGAAGCAGAGGGATTTCTCTCATGTTACCTCAGGGTTATTCCAGTAAGGTGTCTGTTGGTCCTCTGTAACTCAAACTCACATTGTAAGAAGGAGCACTCTACGCCTCATGGACACCCAAGTCAGACAAAAGTCAAGAGAAGCAGGCCATCAGCCCTTTGTCTTTTTGAACAATTTCCTATTCAAAGTGTCTGCAGACTGTTAGCTGGTGATCTCAGCCCAACACAGCTGCATTCTCCAGTGCTAGAAAAATCTAAGCTTCTTTTATTGGTTCCCCTCTGGCTACTTCCACAGCCTGAATTCCATCATCTGGAGGGGGTGGGCCCAAAATAGCCCTGGTACATTGCCTGGTGCTGGGGGCAGCCAGAAATACCAGTTACTCGTCAAATACACGCCTTCTAGTCAGTTCATCGAAGTAGTTTTCCTATGTAAAGTTACTATCTATTTCAGAGATACACTGTTTATTAAATTGTCAATAAAACAATTTATGACATTTCTGTGGTTCTAAAATTAGATGTTTCTTCCCAAGTTTATGTAGGATTACTTTTCTTTTTCAACAACAGATTCTCTCTAGTTTTATTTTTTTGTTTTGTTTTTCTTCCTTGCCTTTTAGTCTTTAAAGAAGCTCAACCATGCCCAGGTAGTCAAATTAAAAGAAGTTATCAGGGAAAATGATCATCTTTATTTTATCTTCGAGTACATGAAGGAGAATCTTTACCAGCTCATTAAAGAAAGGTACAGTTTGGTCATCATTATCTTATTATAGAAATAAATAGGCAAAGCAGATGGGTTTTCTTTCTGCTTTTGTGGGGTTTTTTTCTCTCTCTCTTCTTATTGCATTCTTCTGATTCTTTCTCCAGTCATTTAACATTCACGCTACTGGACTTTAATGTTGAAAGCTGCCAGTTAGGAGTGGGGTCCACCCATATATCTACTTTGGGGACTCTCTGATAGCTCCAGAGAAGCTGTTCTCAATGCAGTCATTTTCTTATTCTAAAGAGTTATTCATCCAAAGAAGCTCAGATTTAATAGACATTGCCGTTTCCCATTCCCGCTAGGACATATGGGCAGAGCAACTAGAAGTCAGAGGTGGTCACAGCTTCATGGATTTTGAGAGCTCTGCTGAAAAGTCCTGGGTTTGTTTCACTTCCTCTCTCACTGCAGTGCTCAGGTGCTTGCATGCCGGGAAGAGGAGGCTAATCAGAAATTTACCTGCTACGGTAATTTTGAACTTTAAAGGTGAACCATGTGGAGCCTCTTGGGCACATCTTCTTTGTGGCAAAATGAATGCCATTCACAGCACCCCTCTGAGTGAGCAAATATCATCTTTATTGACAATAACAGCAGTTTGCTGTGTGCTTTGCCCAGCCAGGAGGAAAATGTTATTAGCCGTCGCGTTGCATAAGGGCTTCATCTGGAAGAACTCAAATTTTCCCCACCAAAATTTTTTAAAGTTTTAGTTTATATCATGGGGAGAGGAGATTTTTTTTTTATGTTTTATATACTATGTTGGAGGAAAAACTTTGATTTTGGCTTACTATCAAATGTTTAATCTTTTCATTTTTGTAACACATGTGAATGTATTTGGTGTTTATAAGGTAACTCCTCTGTATAAACAAATAGCTATTTTTCTTTAGTATTTATTATCAAAGGTTCTGGCCTTCGATTTATAACTTTGCTTTCCTTTGCCTCATACAGAAATAAGTTGTTTCCTGAGTCTGCTATAAGGAATATCATGTATCAGATATTACAAGGACTTGCATTTATTCACAAACACGGTAGGTGATTTGGAGTGTTGTGCTTTTAAATAGCAGTGAAATGTTGTCATGAAGTAGAAGTTGTAGCAAACATTAATATTTTTTATAGCTGATACCCCAGAAAAGTTTGAAGAATTGAGAGGCTGATAATGGATTTTAAAATATATTAACTTTTATAACTTGATCTCTGAATTTCCCTCATTACTTATTATGTCTGTATGTTTTTGTTCTGTAGGCTTTAGCATTAAGCTTAGAATTATAGATAGAAATATGATTCCTGACCATTAGCTAGTGTGTTAAATTAGAAACCTAAGATTAGAATTCTGAGAAGTTTCATGTATTATATTTGATCCACTAACAGTGCTTCACTGTGACTTCTCATTTTTCTGTTGTATTTATTTTTCAACTTCTTTCAAACGAGTTTAAAAGTAGTCTCACAAAATTTGTGTAACACAGGAAAATAGAATAAATTAGAAATTAGCAAACTAAACAGAGAGACAAAGGCGAAACAAGGTGTGGATATTGCCAGAGGTGAGGTTAGTCCTCAAAATGCATGCCAGCAAGTGTTTTTGTTTTTTGAGACGGAGCCCTGCTCTGTTGCCAGGCTGGAGTGCAATGGCACGATCTCGGCTCACTGCAACCTCTGCCTCCTGGGTTCAAGTGATTCTCCTGCCTCAGCCTCCCAAGTAGCTGGGACTACAGGTGCGCACCACCATGCACAGCTAATTTTTGTATTTTTAGTAGAGATGGGGTTTCACCATGTTGGCTAGGACGGCCTGTCTCTTGACCTCATGATCCTGCCCTCCTTGGCCTCCCAAAGTGCTGGAATTACAGGCATGAGCCACCATACCCAGCCACCAGCAAGTTTTATTTCAGTAGAAGAAGCACAGGAGGCTGAGGCAGGAGAATTGCCTGAACCCAGGAGGCAGAGGTTGCGGTGAGCCGAGATCGCGCCATTGCACTCCAGCCTGGGTAACAAGAGCGAAACTCCATCTCAAAAAAAAAAAAAAAGAAGAAGAAGAAGCAGGCTAAGATTTGATTGTGAGTTCATTGTCAGATCATGCAAAATGTTAAATATGACCAGTTACAACACACGTAGGTTAAGAGCAGACCAGTTGCCCAAGAAAAACAGAACTATTCTTGATACCAAGACCAGAGAGCAGGTTTTTTCATGGACCCTTCAGCGAGGATGGTATGTAATATGACTTCATAAACAGAGTGACGGGTTTTAGAGGGCAGTTTCATATCATATCCCTCAGTGGAGGCCAATTACATCACCTAATCAGAGAAAATATTTATACAGGGGCCAGTCTGATTTGCTCTACAGAGGGTCTAGTTAGGCTAGGGAGAAATTTAGAGTATCCAAAGGAATGATGACTGCATACCCTTCTGGAAATCCCCCATCACTGTTGTTCTTAGCTGAGCTTTTGAAAGGTATTAAGTAGCAATGAGTTTGAGGTTATATTCTCCAGCAACTACCTGGAGTATTGCTGGTTGTTACTAACTAGACACAGACCTAGCTGGGGTTGGATCAATACTTCTTGTGAGCACAGAGCCACCAGATGGAGATATCCACAGGTGGGGCCAGAAGTCTTCTCAGGAGGTCATTTGAGGTCATTGAGGTATACAGACAGATGGGCCAAGCTGATTTTGCATAGGCAGAAATCCATTAACTCTCAGTCCGAGGATATCGTTGCCATTGTACCAACAAATGAGTTTTATTACTCAATAAGGAGACTGGGTTGAAGCCCTTTGATAATATAGCTAGTTTAGATTTTTAAGAGAAAGTCTCAATATGCTGCCCAGGCTGGGCTTGGACTCCTGGGCTCTAATGATCCTCCTGCCTCAGCCTCCTGAGTAGATAATTTAGATTTGATGTAAATTGTCAGTGAATAGAAAAGACCTTGTGCTGGAGAAGGTGGCATAGTACATCTGGGATCATTACCAGCGTGTTCTTTACTTCCTAAGTAACCCCTTATAGTTAGAGACTAAATGACACATAGACAAACATAGGCTATCCACAAATCCTAGTCAGCCTCAGGCACATGCTGAGTAATCAGCATGTAATATGCAAGACTGAGTCAAATCGTGAACCAGTTCTAGTCAAAAGTTTCTAGTACAGGTTTTCTCTGAATCCACTGACATTTGTAGAACTGGCACTTTGTCCTTTATTCAAAGAATTCATAAGAGTGGGAATTTGCAAAACATTAAAAGCTTCTGGCATGGTATCTTAGGGACAAATAGGAGAAATGTCACTTACTAGATTAAGAGTTCAGGAAAAAAATAACGAGAACTCAATGGGATTCTCAAAAGAGATCGTACATTTTCAGATAGAGACCAATCATAATGTCTCAGTTATTCAGACTATTTTCTCGGTACTGGGAACTGAGTGGTGGACTTAAACAAAAGTTAATATTCTTTGGCTTTTTCTTCTTTCTCCTTTTTGTTGCTGTTCTTGAGACTCAGATATTTGTTGCCAGAAAGTAGCCTTTTGTCCAGGCCTCTACCTAATCAAATGTGTGGGCGTGTATGTATACACACACACAAACACATAGACCACACATATGCACCCAAAGACATGTGCATACACATGCAAACATCTACATGTTCGTATATCCACATGCATATATACCTACATAGGCATTCATCCTACACACACAAATATTCACCTGTAGTACATAACTTAGCACCCATATATTACTGTGTCAAAACAGCCTGTTGGAACTCTGCACTGTTTCCCTCCATGCATTAGGCACTTGGACCACAAGGTACAAGGGAAGGCTCAGTTTGTGGTGAAGGTTGGACCTCAGCTTTTATAACCTCAACACCATTGCCATTACCAGAGATTCTTGTTGACACCTTTCCTCAGCAATTAAGTGCCCAGTTCTAGTTTGAGCTTAACATTTTATCTGTTAACTTATTTCTTTGTCAATTTATCTTTTAGAAAGAATAGGTGGTATCTATTCTTTACAAAAAAGAGGAAACTGAGGTTCAGAGAGGCTCGAAAACCTGCCAAAGGTCCCATTGCAATAAAGTGGTTGAATGGAGATTAGTTCAGATAGCCTACGCCTATTTGCTATGCTTAATTAGAAAACCTGTCTGTGCTCAGAGAGAACAAGAGAGTAAGAGGTGAAGAAAATAATAATCATTGTAAGGAGTATGGATACTAATTTCGGTCTCACTCTGTCGTCCAGGCTGAGGTGCAGTGGCATAGTCTTGGCTCACGGCAGCCTCCACCTCCCAGGTTCAAGCAATTCTCATGCCTCAGCCACTTGAGTAGCTGGGACTACAGGTGTGTGCCACCATACCCAGCTAATTTTTGTGTTTTTAGTAGAGATGAGGTTTCGCCACGTTGGTGAGCCTGGTCTTGAACTCCTGGTATCAAGTGATCCACCCATCTTGGCCTCCCAAAGTCCCGAGATGACAGCAGTGAGCCACTGCACTTTGCCCCTATCCCATTTTCACTGATAGATGATTTTTAGAAACTGTTTAATGGTTTTTGTATGGTATTGACTTTGGTTAAGTGCCCATGTACTTCTATATCCCTCTCCTTCAGCAATGAAAAAAAAGCACTTAAAGCACTTCAAAGATTAGTCATGTGAGTTTCAGGCTCTTCTCTGGTAGCCCATTCTCACTGTGAGGAGGCATGTTCTGCCTCTGGGGAATAGACTCCTCCGAGAGGGGAGAACAGTGCTGCAGGTTGTTGCTATGGCCATACTTCATGTCACTGAGTATTTTCCTCTCACGGGGAATGAAAACACAGTTCTACTTGGTGCTGATTGAGCAATGCCAAAGCATATGTCCTTTGCAGGAATTAAATAATTAATGTAAATGGTCTGTTTCAACTCTGACTTGACCTTACAAATATCCAGGTCACACTTATCCATGCCAGAAATAGAAATGCATCGGGTAGTCTGGAGGACAATGTTTTGCACCAAGAGTTGGTTCTCTGCTTCTGTTTCCTCACTGTCTCACTATGCATGACCTTGAGACAGTCCTTTGCCTTTCTATGCGTTGCAGTCCCTGTAGCCTTCTTGATAAAAACATTGTAGGTTTGAATTCAGTAATATCTGTGAAATTAAAGTTTCCACAGCAGGAAAGTGTGCTATATAAATTCATAGTGTTTATTCTCTGGTTATTTCCATATATTCATGTCCGATTCATCAATAACAAAATGTGGTAGCGGGGAGAAAGCCTTCTTTGTGGCTTGATGTTTTCCTTGCCCAGGGGTTATTAATGAAAAAATAAGCGCACATATTTTCTACCAGGATGAAAGAAAATCCCTCTGTTATTCAACTGGCATATAGGACTCTGAAATTAAATTGAAGGTCTGTTCCTCTCTCCTGGAAGTCAAACAGTTTTGAACAGGAAGGTTCTTATCATAACAACACTTGGCTGTTGCATGATCTCTGAATGACCCCAGCTAAAAGAGTTTTCATTGTGAATCAGAAGCCCAGAGGAAGAAGTAGGCTTATTGTTATAGATCACATTGCACAAATCAGCAGAACAGGAACCCTGCTACAAATTAGAGTTTTAGTACCACCTCCTTACCGATGGGGCATGCCAGATGTAATTTTTATTAGCAAAAATGGAGCTGTGTCTGCTCCATTTTAACAGGTTATGGGAGGGTGAAATGAGAGAATGTGTTAATAGTAGTACTGTTAATGACTAGCTTTTATAAAGTATTGATGTGCAAACACTGCTCAAAAAGCTTTACAGACCGGGTGTGGTGGCTCATGCCTGTAATCCCAGCACTTTGGGAAGCTGAGGTGGGCAGATCATCTGAGGTCAGGAGTTCGAGACCAGCCCAACCAACATGGCAAAACCCCATCTCTAATAAAAATAGTAGCTGGGCCTAATCCCAGCTACTCGGGAGACTGAGGCAGGAAAACCACTTGAACCCAGAAGCCAAAGGTTGCAGTGAGCCGTGAAGATGACACCACTGTACTCTGGCCTGGGTGACAGAGTAAGACTCTGTCTAAAAAAAAAAAAAAAAAAAGCTTTACAAATGCAACCCATTT